AACATTAAGGTTTTCTTAGCATAGTATTTGCATATTTCAACGACTCTCTCTCTCACTAACAACCATCGCGTTATGAACAAGATTGAGTATAATCATTCATTAACATTAAGGTTTTCTTAGCATAGTATTTGCGTGTTTTAACGACTCTCTCTCTCACTAACAACCATCGCGTTATGCGGGATCCATGTGCAGTTGTCAAAGTGAAATCAGACAATCGTTGATGATACTGTATTGATGCCGTGTTGACGTTCCGGGATTGAGAGTTCGCATATTATATCATAGTTAAGGTTGAATTAGTAATAAATTGATTAATACAGAAGTGGTTGTGTGATTCTTTCCTGAAATCTATGCATAAGATCTGCTTCTGCGTTGAGATTTGAACTTGGTGACCTTAATAAACACACTAATACATACTCAGTAAATGTTAAAACGATAACGGGGTGAACCGGGGACCTAAAAATATAACCACGAATAAACACCCTGGGAATGTTAAAGCGAGAATGAGACAACCTAGACAACGATGCCGAGTTAATCTAAGTTAATCTTGCATACTTACACCACACCTGCATAACTGCATACGATTAATTGCCTTATTCCGATCGATAACCCACCCTCGTCACCGAGGCGGGGTCTGGTTATCATAACGACTTGCATTATCATAATTACACCCACTCGCATAATTAATACGATTACCTCTCGAATTGGCATAATTAAAATGTGCGTAATTACATAAATCAACATATTTCCGGATAATTACACATTTGGCCAAATTTCATTTAATTATTATTATTTCCACTGAATATTCATAACCCACATATACAACATAATAATTTCACCCACGCACGCATACAACATAACAAATTTTCATACCCAACATATACAACACATTGCCTCTGCATATTTTGCATGCCTTGCCCCCTCCCCTCTCAATTAGATCATTACGTGTGATTTGATCTGGATTGTGTTGTCTATCGACGTAAATGAAAACCCACCTGCTATTAATACAGCATTTATAACATCAACAACCTCAACAATGATCTACCCAATGCTGGATCAAGGCCTCTCCGTCTTCACCATCCATAACAGTCAAGCAATGCCACAATTTGTCTCGCTCCTGTGCATGAGTCAGTGCCACCTGCCATACTCTTTGCCAACATGGCCCTGCTAGAAGAGATTTGCTCTCGCCAGTGAAGCCACTATCCCAGGGGTCGGCAACCTACGGCTCCGGAGCCGCATGCGGCTCTTTACGGGCTGCTTCTTGACGATATGTACGTATGTACAGTATGTACTCAGATGCATTGCGGCTCTTGAAAAACTGAATTTTGTACCGAATTGGAAAGAAATGGCTCTTCTTGTTATTTTGGTTGCCGACCCCTGCACTATCCAATCCATTTGTTTCATTGTGGCCTACAGATGTACTGCGAGTGCTTGGTGCAAATGAAACAATTATCATTGTGCGGTGAAATACTTCCTAGGACATATGTTGGAAATATTTATATAATCCTTGCATATGTATCCTCTTTCTCCCTTGTATTGTTTTCTCCTCTGTCCTTGTAGCACAACGTTAATGGTCACGTGCTATAGTGAGTTGGTCATGCAAGTCCATTCCAAATGCAACCACATCATCCCCTAATAGACTGATTAGATGACTCTTACTGTTACTGTTTTTTACTGATGTTAAATTCCATTGTGGTTTTTTTACGTGTTATAAAAAAAGATTTTTGTTCATTATAATTTATGCTTCATAGAATTGGAATTCGTGTTCATATTTTGTCTTTATTATACATTCTGTACTGGTCTTTACATATTATTTTAATCATTTATCGTATTGTATATGTCGTGTATTGTATGTACATTTATTACTGGATTTATTATGTATTGTGTGTCATTGTAACGATTAGGTCTTGCATTTATTATCTTCTGTTTTTCTTCATGTGTATTGAGCATGTTCGGGGTTGTGTAGTATATACATTGTACGTTAAATATTGGATGTTTTACTCATTTAGTACAATGAGCAAAACATACAATACACGATGCAATAATTATAATTATTTCATTCTGAATTTTATGTTATGTATTGCTAGATGACTTGTAATGGGCCAATATCTATCAACTGCTGAATTAAGGCCTTCCAAATGTATCACTCAACCTCAGTCTTGGGATCCAATAAATCCATCTAGTTCCTGCACATAAGCTAATATGATCACTCCATCTCCTTGGTAGTTATCCTCTAAGGCAGGGGTCCCCAACCCCCGGGCCGCGGACTTGTACCGGTCCGTGGCCTATTAGGAACCGGGCCGCACAGCAGCAGGTGAGCGGTGAGTCTGCGCGTGGCCTGCCCCCATTAGTTTATTATTGACCACTTCCGTCCGCGCCTCTTTCCCGCACTGCACACTTGTCTCAGTCACAGTTTTGGTAAGCCCACAAGCTGCTAACCCCTGACCAAAATGAGTAAAAACCAAACGTCACTGGAGAGCTTTTTTGAAACGGGGGAAAGACCCAATGATGTCCCGCCGGTCCGTGAAAAAATTGTCTTCCACGAAACCGGTCCCTGGTGCCAAAAAGGTTGGGAACCGCTGCTCTAGAGGCATGTTCCCTCCCCTTGGCTGCCGCTTTGTCTTTTGTAACACAAGGCAACTCCCCCCCCCCAAGAGCCAATATCGACAAGTTGTGAATATTCAAGATTTCTATTGCAGAGGGGCGAGTCTCTCCAGAGGACAACCACTGTGGAAGTTCCACAGAGTGATACTCGTTTCAACGACCCCGGGGTGATGAGAGACTGATTAAGCACCCGGTCATAATTAAAATGTGATTAAAGAAATTGCACCTTTCACCGAACATCTCAAAGCGCTCTAATAGAAACACCAGCAAACGCTCAGTATAAAACAACTCGTGAAAAAAAACGCAAATGCACCAATAATAAAATCAATGTTTAAAGTCATTTACTGAAGTAACTAATGGTTGAATAAACAGAAGTGTGTAAATATGGCTCAGAGATTTTGATATATCATGGAAGAGAGTTCTAGAGTCTGAGGGCTCCACGCCTATCCACTGAAGCAGATAAGATTTTCATTCCAAGATCTTGGAGACCTTGAGGGGACTTATGGCAGGTCTCTCAGGTCGACTGGGGCACGGTGGTTCAGAGCTTTGTAGGTTAGCAATACGATTTTAAACTGAATCTTATATGGATTTGGAAGCCAGTGCAGAGAGGCCAACACGGGCGTAATGTGATCTGAAGGTGTTCTGGTTAACACCCGAGCAGCCGCATTCTGAACACGCTGCAGATTGTTAAGCACATTCTAAGCCACACCAGGGAGCAAGACATTGCAATAGTCAATGCGAGATTAAATTAAGGCATGGACCAGCTTCTCTGCATCCAAAGCAGATAGAAGGCATCAGATTTGGGAGATATTCCTCGGATGGAAAAATAAATATTTTTTTATGTTTTTAATATGAGCCTTTGAAGGACAAGCATGGAATCACAGATAACCCCTAGATTTTTGACTTCCTGTGCCAAACCGATTACCTGGCCATCAATCATGTTGAAGGCTGCTGCTTTTTTAAATTGGTGCGTGGGACCTGAAGAGCATCACCTCCCATCTTGACACCATTTAATTGGAGGAAGTTTTATTGCATCCAACTTTTCATGGAAGCCAGCAACGAAGTGAGCATTGGGCAGATTAAGGGAGCTTAGACTCGGTGTGCACGGAAATTTAGTTGTTATCTGCAAAGACAATGACACTTTAAGCCGAGATGTCCGTATGCATGTGTCGATATAGTACAGTATGTGCAACTGTGTTTGTTTATGTGTCATTGTGTGTTTGTGTATGGTAAATATATTACAGTATTGTAATGCATCTAATGTATGTGTGTGATTGTCTGTCTGTGGGCAGCGGTAGTGCTGTGCGACGAACTTTGCGAACAGAGTTTGATTTCTGCTCACAACCAATAAGAATGACAATAACCTGAACCAGTCTTGGGCCTCCACTAGGTTAACTCGGCCTCACATCAGTACCGGCTGTGATGTGTAAACATCACCGCTAGGGAGACAAAGGCGGTCGAGCGTGGTGCTGGCCACCCACCCCCTCGTGTGCCGTGCCGATCTTCATAGGTGCTCGCTAAAAGCACTTGCCCCAACAGTCTGTTAAGGTTATACGCAGTTTCTTGGTGTGTATTTATGTACGTGTGTGTAGAAAGCATGTGCAAATATGTGTGTGTGTCTGTGTGAAGGTGTGAAATTGTGAAAATAAATATAAGCATGTATCTGTCTTTGTGTATGCAGTCCTGGTATTTACGTGTGATGACCGGCCATGAGAAATAGAGTTTTTGATAGTCTTTAAAGCAATAAAAAAAGCAATTAAAAAACGATCACAATATTTATTGAGATTACCTTTAAAACTTTGATGGAAATTAAAATATGGCTATAAAAGTAATTAAAATATTTTTTTAAGTCAAAATAAAATCGAACTAAAACTGTTAAAATAACAAAATTTTATTTTTCCAGGTAAAACCTGGCCACAAAAGATTGCTCAACGAAGTGGCTTATAGCAGCCAAATACTCTAAACGCATGTTTCAAAATGTAGAGGGAAAAACTGGAGGACCCGGAGAAATGCCAAACAACACGCAGTATTACCAAAGGCACATTTGGGAGTTATATACTCTTTGCAGAGAAAATAAAAAGTATGCGCCTAATCCATGCGACGACGGGGACAACATGCAAACTCCAGAAATACAGGCGTCAGGGTCGGGATTGAACCCACGACCTCCTGTATATAAGGCGGCAAGGTAGTTAACATCCCGCCACTATCGTACCCAAGGAGCGGTGACGTTTCCCTCGTCCCCTGCTGGATCTCTAAGGACAAACCATATAAATGAATCTTGCAGTTGTGCATCAAACACTTTAACCACTGTGCATCTCACTAATAAATCAAACCTTACACCTAACAGATATGGAGCTGATACCGAGTTTCACCATGTCTCATGTTTTTCCACGCCATAGCGTACGTGACACACTACCTGGACAAGACATTCTACAACCTCAACACAGTGGCGCTGCATGACTGGGCCACCTATAGCAAGATGCGAAATCTGGCTACGCAGCGCTACGGTCTGGATATGGCTGAACCACACCTCCCCAGCCAGACATTGGAACAGGTATTGCTTATCTTTGTCAAGCCCCAGTGTCTCCCTACTTGAACAAGACTGGAGCTGTGCTTATCTCCATTGGGCACGTTGAGCCAAAAGTGGAAATCCCACATTTTTACGGCTATGCTCACTTTCTACATAAGACATTCAATTGAATGTGTCTTTATGTTAAAATGAGCAATGGAACGGTGCCGATTTTCATCGGTCGCCTGTTTCCATGACAGCGACATTTTTAAAGCAACTGACCCATAGCAGCCAGCTTCCTGACAGTGGAAATGTTCGCATTCACAATTATGCCAGCCTTATCACCACATCAAAGATTACTGGTCTTGGTGGAAAGGCAGAATTTGTCGTCTATTGGTGGCTGTGCCCAAGTCCAGGCTCAATAATAATAATTTTCATTTTTTTGGAGCATTTCATTCGTAGATCCCAATGCGCCGTGTATGCAAAGCAGGAAATAAACAGAACCAAGGTAAATCGTCATAACTAGGGGGTAAATTGCTCTAACAACTCTTGCTGATTAATTACCAAAGGTAAGGCGTTTCATCGTTTGGGAGCTGCACTCTCAAAAGCTGATCACTCCAGGAAATTAGCCTTGACCTCGGAGTACTTAGAAGCAGGCGATCCAAATATCTTGGATACCATGTTGGTAGTAGAAATACGGATCGGTTCCTGCAAATATTGTAGGGCTAACCCATTGAGAGCCTTGTAGGTCAGTATTAGGATCTTATCGTCCACTCTATACTTGACTGGTAGCCAGTGCAATGACAAGAGAGTGAGGTGTGATGTGCTCGCAAAACGGTGTGGGCGTAAACAGTCTAGCAGACCAGCGGATTGAGAAGCAAACTAAATGAACAAGCCGGAGTGTACCCAGAACCTTACTCAGAATCCTGAACAGTAACGCTCTGAACAGTAACACTTTGCAGTAATCAAGTCGGGATAACACAAAAGCAAGGGCCAGTCTCTCTCTAAGTCATGCCCATGATTGACTGCCTATTTATAAACTAAATATTCCTACTGTTTTTGTACATTGTCTGGAGAAGCAGACGCATTTGCTTGCAATATAAATCCAATGTGCATTGTATTAGAAAGGCAATGGACTGATCCTAATCTTGTGATTTTGATTCAAGGGCATCCCTGTAAATGAGGCAGTTGCCTCAATTGTCTCCATATGGCAAAATGCAGTAGTGATGCATCTGAGTCACATTTATAGAATGGTGGATTTCTCCTGTGAATAAAGTATTTTACTTCCAGTTAATTGTGAATGGCTGGTTCATTTTTATCAGTGTATAAGTTATAAGCAACCGTGCTCACTGCTACTTTCAGTGTATCCCTCTCACACGCATCTCCGGCTCTGAAGTAGCTACTTGGATAAATAAAGCTCCTCATTATAAATTCTCAAGAGGCACACACGTATTTGAAACCTTGGCCATTCAAGCATATAGCATCTAATTCAATACGCAGTAAAAGGACTAGACTGGTGACGGATGGGCTATATTTCTTACGACAATCAGGCGATTGTGTTTTCATGAGAGCCAGTAGGCACAGGCTGTCTTTCATACATCATCCTTCCCCTTGCCTAAATTTCCACAATCACTTAACCGCAGCTGCCACGTTAATAGGGCTCAGCGGATTAAAAAAAAAACCTAACCTGTTTTATGGTATTGTGTCACTCAAGGAGTTTGCTATCAAGCACTAATTGGGAAGTCCTTTTTATTCATCGTTCAACATTTCTCGAGTGCACAGTCGGCACACGCCGTTTTAGCTTACAAAGTGTCTATTGCAGGCATTTCGTGCCAGCTCATAGCTGAACTTTCAATTGCCGCTGCAATTGTACTGCCACAATGCACGCACGTTGTCGGTGGCATATAACCCTTTGCCCCAGTGTTCTTTAGATTAAAATGTCTGTAAACATAAGTGCAATATGTCCAATCTGTCATAAAATGTCACTGAGAATGCCCTTATGGCATTACTGGGTAGCTGCAGAATTGAAATTATTGATCCAGTGGTGATTTCCTGAGTGGCCGGTATGCTACCCACTAGGGTATCAGACCACTACCTGGTATTAAGCAGTGGCAGGTACTGGTAGCAGGGATAAGAAATGAAGAGTGTATTCATTGTGTGGTGCAATATTTATGAAAGTGCATGCTATTACATGAATTTGTTTGTTTTAATTGCAGGGACTCGATGTTCTGGAGATCATGCGAAACATTCACATCTTTGTGTCCAAGTATCTCTACAACCTCAACAATCAGGTGAAGTGTTTTACATTTCGATTTTTTTTTTACACACGGTGATCAAAATTGTGTTAGCAAATAGATGTTAAAACGGATACGTGCAAACATATAAAATAATTTCTCAGCGTAGTTACTTCTGAACATCAATAAATATTTTCCGTAATATAATGCATCATTATGACTCGTAATCTTATCCTGTCAGTGCGACATATTTTTTGTGCTGTACATTCAAAGCTTTGACCGCCCTTTATGGACATACCGTTGATACGTTAATGTCATAGAGTTGGCTTGGTATATCACACACAAATTGACCATATGTGAGCTGCCTACCTGCAAGACAATGAAGCAGTGTAGCGAATAGATGTATGGCTGATGTGTGTGTGTGTGGGTTTTCTCTGGGTACTCTTGTCTCATGGCCAGCTTTTCTCATGCCTCCTTATTAGGGTTGCGATACATTTTTCGCTCAAGAGACGTTGACCTATTGTGGACGTGTAAATCAATGCACGCACTGCGTTGCCCGCCCCTCATGCATCATGGGTCGGGTCGCCACTGTAAGGTTACGTCCCAACTTGTTGGCCCAAGTCCTCTGTTCCTCACTACCACTCCCCACATTGACGTACCTAACCCTCATGCTGTCACTGTCATACCACCTGTCATTCACAATACCATCTTCAATCACATTTTACCAATTAACTTTACAAGAACAAATCCCAGCCAGAAAATCTCATCACTATTCCCTTAAAACATACTCCTATCCTTGATGACTCTCGGTTAATCCTGGGAATCAATGCTTTTCTCATTAATGACAGATTTTCAGCTAGGCCTGCTATCTCTTTATCATAAAAAAAACAAGGAGCTGAAACCCCAATTTCCCTGCCTGACAGAGACCTGGTTTCATAAATAATCCACTCCAGACATAGTAAACCTCCTTTTCCATGGTTATAAAATGCGCCAGGTGAATAGACACTCAAAACGTGGTAGTGGTGTAGTTGTCATCTTTCAGGATCATTAGCACTGCACCTGTAGGCCTGCCATTATTTAAAGTCCTTAGAATATATATGTTCATTGCTGGTTTGAGAACAATTACTCCTTTAAACTGTCCATTGTTTATCATTTCCCCTGGTTCAGATTCTGATTGGTTGGATGACATTTTGAGCTGAGTATGACCCTGTCACTGGAGTCCCCTTTCTCCCTGATACTGGGGAATTTCAGTGCCTGGGTCGACACTCCCCATGACAAGTTAGCCTGCAAGTTCATAGACATGCTTAGCCTAAACCAGGGGTTGGCAAGTAAAATAACAAGAAGAGCCATTTTTCGAACTCATTAAAAAAACTCTTTCAAGAGCCGCAATGCACGTAGTGGATACTAGACGGTGGGCTTTATTACATAATGTCACGAAATAGTTCTGAAATAGTTCTTAAAGAGCTGCATGCGGCTCCAGAGGTGCAGCTTGCTGACCCCTGGCCTAGACTATATGCAAGATGTCAATAGTCCAAGCCATTGAGCTGGACATACACTGGACGTAATTTTTTTGCACAGATCACAATTTCTATTTTGGAAATTATTCAGGTCCACCGGTCGGATCATTTTCTGATTAAATTTTAACTTAACATAAAAGCTCATTTTCATCCTCGTATAAAAAAAATAAAACATTCTAATTAGACCTAATAAATTATTAACCACTGATAGCCTGACACCATTTTTGCAGGAGGAACTGCGGACTATTAACTCCACAGTTCAGCTTGCCAAGTTAATAAACCTGTGTAATGTTTCACTCACCAACGTTCTTGACTCAATGGCTCCAAAAATATGGTTTTGCCCTATGTATTTGCCCCCTCAACCCTCGTTCACACAAAACTTGATTATTCTGAGAAGGCAATTGTGCTCAGCTGAACGCTGTTGGTGTAAAAGCAGCCTGCTGGCTGACACATTTTCACTCAAACTGATTAGGAAACTATCACCAGGAAATCGTTAATGTCAAGTAAACGTATCCTGCATACAGGATTGAAACAAGAGTCGACCTCAGGATTTATTCAAAGTTGTCAGTGGAAACCTGTCATGCCTTTCAATCATTTTTTTTTTACAAAATTCATCATCTGAGAATATTCATTCTCAACACCGTTGGTTCAGCCCCCTCTAGTCCTCAGGTGAGAGACTCTGTGGCTCACTGTTTACATGAGTTCAGACAAGTCGCTATGTCTGATCTCACTGAAATCCTAACAAAGATGAAGCCAACTTTTTGTGACAGTGATCCACATCTCTCATTACTGGGCAAACAGAGCCATAACATTTTGGGTCCTATCTTGCTAAACATCGTCAATCATTCCGTCAGGGTGTATTTCCTCATGACTTGAAACTTGCGTCTGTTGAAACATTACTAAAGAAACCAAACCTGGGCCATAATTATTGTAATAACCATCAGCCTATATGAATTCTTCAATTTTTAAGCAAACTCATAAAAAAAACATGCTGCTATGCAGTTACAGAACCGTTTGTTATCTGGCAGACTTTTTGACACCAACCAGTCTGGATTTCAATCCTTTTATAGCACTGAGACAGCTACCCTTTGTATTGTCGATGAGTTACACCATGTGCTAGATATAGAGGGATCAACTATGTTCGTCTTGTTAGACTTCTCAGCAGGGTTTGCCACACTAGACCATGCTCTTTTATTGCAAAGGCTAGAACAGAATGTGGGAATCTGTGGGACTGCACGCAATTGGTTAAGGTCATTGTTGATCAAGCACTCCCAAAATATAAATAATGGGCTCTCATTCCCCTTCAGCCCAGCCAATCACGTGTGGAGTCCCGCAGGGGTTGATATTATCACCCCTACTGTTCGGATAAGCAGAACTTTACTTCCCTGTCTGCTTGTCTGTCAGATATCGACAGTTGGTTGTCTAACAACTGACTGAAACTCAATCCGGACAAGTCAGATTATTTTGCTGTTTGAACTGGAGTCTAAACTTGTTGACTAGAGGCCCATGGCAGCGTCTTTAACTGTCAGTAGAACCTCACTGCCTCATTGGATGCTATGAACATGTGAACTTGTACCCACACTGGGTCACACGGGGAGACAAGATGGAGACAAGGTGATGCGCGTATTCTTTCGCGGCAGCATCATCGCAAGCATTACACTTACGATGCATGCAGGGATCTCACGGTCAACTGCGAATGGTCGAGCCACAGGGGCATGATCGTTGAACTATACATAATTATATTTGGCTTGAAGTGAAATCCGTGATGGGGATAACCCACGATGGTCAAGGTGTTGGTGTATGCAGAAACTATCAATCCACTGCTTACTTATGGGATCACGTCTGGTGTGGCAGCTTGTTAAAATATGTTTGCATTTGTGATTATAGCTATCAGCTAATATGCAATTTCCAGCTTATAGCAGTCTAATTTAGCTGTATTTTTTTTTATTGGAAATCAATTTGTTTCTGAATAAGTTCCACTTGGAATAACAGTTTATAATTATCAAGAGCAATTAAATATGTAGCCCCGTATATTTGGAGTTTAGCATTTCGCAATTATGAAAAATGTTTCACTTAAACCAATGTTTTGCTACATTTGTGATGGGTACAGTTGAGGCGCACACGTGAAACTTGGAGGCAACACGTTTTTATTAACTAACACAATAGGTAACTCAACACTTCAACAGGATAACGACATAAGGTGGTGATCACCGCTCCTAACTAACTATATACACTTGGAGGGATGACTATTTACATATTGGATGGGACAACTACTAAATCGGACCAGGACAGCCAACACGCTGCCTTGTCCACGTACGCGAAGACCGGAAACCAAAGACCCACGAAGACGGAGGATTTCTTCTTAGGGATGAACAACCCCGATCCCCGCCGGGACTCGGCTTTTATCCGCTGCGCCGTGGCCAGGCCCTGCCCTTGGCCACGCCCCTTTTCCAGATCTTTCTCGACGACTCAGGACCCACATAACGTGTTCCTCTCACCTCCTCCCTGGTCCTCGTTACCACCTCATCTGGTCACGTGCCCTCTCGGGTTCACCCAGACTGTCATCACCTCACCCGACCTGTTCCCTTTTATACTCGTTTAATGAGTGACTCCGACACGGTAAGAACTTCAAGTTATTTATTAAGAAATCTTTCGGTACAGCTTCGGTTTCCTCTCTCTCTGCGGATGTTGAACCGCTCGGGTGGCTGCGCTGCCCCACGCCACGTGGCGCTCACCCGCTCACCAACATGCCGCTGGCTGATGGCGCGCTAGGGAGCGGCTGGAGGTCGAGCTGCCACGTGGCAGATGGAGATGGCAGGGCAGCAGCGACGGGGAGCTCCACTTGATCTTCACACACCGACCCCGCACGTTGCTGCACCCCCGGCTGATATTCGCTCCCCGACAACTAAGCCCCGCCTCTGGCCGCGCCCCTCCTGGAACCTTCGGGAACGTTCCGGAGGTTTCCCTGGTGGATCCGTCCCATCACCTTTACCCCAGATAAATTCCCTACTATAGATAAACCGTAACTGTATAAACAATGTACGCCCGGCAATAATACAGGAGATGGTCGCTCTTATTACACTCACTCAGGTGCCAGGAAGAGAGGCTCCGCCCATACAGTACCACTCACTCGGTACTGTTGCTACACTATAGTGCCATCATGTATGACACGACACATTCATTGGTTCATAACATTTGAAAAGCTTTGTAGTCGGTGTCTTAGTAGAAACTGGGAATGCTATATATTATAGACTAGCTTTACTACCCGGCTTCGCCTGAGACTTGGATTCTTGTCTTGGTTTAATACACGGCCTACGCGGAGGGTGGGGGGGGGGATGTGTGACGTCAGCAGGCACACTGCATAACGCTGCCGCATGAGGGTGACATCACAGATGTGACGTCATCGCTCGCCGTGTAAAATATATATTTTTATACTTTTTGCGTTGTGTACAGTCTGGAAGCTACCCACATGCCAAATTTCAAGTTTGTTGCATGTCGGGAAGTATGCTAAACATTCTGAACAGACACACGTTCACAAAT